ATATATGCACAATAAGTGCAAAACACACAGGTACATTCACATTACAAGGGAGGCGCATTATAACAATTTTAGTTTAAAACAAGTGTATTATAATGGCTTGGAAACACTATGAGAATTGATCAAAACTATGGTAATGGTGAACGTACAAGGAATTTGTTTATAATTGTAGATATGATCTTGGAAATTGTTTCTGTCTAACTGTTGGTAAAACTTATTAAGAAACGTTCCTTATAACGGGGTGTACCAAATTCTCATAATTGAGGATTATTTGTGATTCTCTTTCTCGGTTGTATTTTATACAAGACATTGCATAATTTTGCTAATCTTACAAGACATCACATGTTTCACAGAATCGTTGTTTCAATGGGGTTTGTGTTTTGGTATATCTACCAGTTTCAATTTTTAGTTTGTGATTACTTAAACGAAGATTTGAGATCTATGAGCTTTGTTTTTACAATATGAAAGATAATTCTCACTATTTAGAGGATGACTTTACCAACCCGTATGTTCTTAATTTGCTGTTGGATAAATGGCAATCCCGGCCCTTAAAGAATGCGTGAACATTTTTATATGTGGACTGAAGTTTATTTACAGTGGATTCATTACACTTTTTTGTGTTTACTCTTTCAAAAGTTTGTTTTATTTAACCTAGCCAACATTTTGACCAGAAAGATTGATATTTGCCGTCAAAGCATGTTTTTAGAATGACATTTCTTGTGTTACCTACATACGACATGTAATCAATTATTTTATATATAACTGGTACTAATAGTGGGTATATACCAAGTTCTGCCTGAAAGGCCCAGTTATGTGTTTTCTTGCCTTGGTTTTCCTTGTGCTCACCATTTAAAGATATGGTTTCTTTTATTGTGATTCCCAAAGATAACTACATAAATAACAACCAATTTGTACTTTACACCAATCCTCTCCTCCCATAGCTTACACTTCCTTCCTCTGCATATAACATTATATGGCGGGGAAGAATTGATGCTCAGTAGCAATCTCTACTTGTTTTCACAAAACACAAAACAAATACTGGCAATACCGTAACACATAAAACGAGCTACACAAGCAAAACGAAATATATCTAAATTAAAACTATGAGCCTAAACAACTAATAAAACACCCCCAGAAAATCAAATTGTCGGTCCCTAAAATGAGTAACGACACACGTTACAATGAAACACTATCAGCCAAGTCACGACTCCTCTTTTATATATCCATATTTAACCGCCATTGTCACCAACTGATCCCTATTTACTTGGCTCTGGCGACCAAACCTGCACTAATTTTAATCCTTCCCCAGCACGCACAAACTAAGCCTAATAAAAGACTCCAAGTAGGAGAACCATGAATGTATTCTGGAAACAAAATGTCTGGTATAGATTGAACAGATTTCCCAGCATGATTTGTTTGTTTTTATGCCGTAGTCATATCAGTTATCGGTGTGGTGGCGATGCTTGGGATGGAGACATCAGCGGGTTTCATCTGCAGCACGACTCTGGCATATGTCAACAGTGTTCCAAGGAGCTGAAAGAAGACGCGTACGATGCATGGCTTCACATATATAAATGAGTGATCTAACGGTTGGTTGGTTGGTTGGTTGGTGTGTTGTTTAACGCCGCATTCAGCAATATTCCAGCTATATGACGGCGGTCTGTAAATAATCGAATCTGGACCAGACAATCCAGTGATTAATATCAAGAGCATCGATTCACGCAATTGGGATCGATGACATGCATCAACCAAGTCAGCGAGCCTGACCACCCGATCCCGTTAGTCGCCTTTAACGACAAGCATAGTCGCCTTTTACAGCAAGCGTTGGTTGCTGAAGACCTATTCTACCCCGGATCTTCTCGGGCCGAGTGATCTAATGTGTAAAGGGGTGGGTGAGTGAGTGAGCGACAATGTATTCTTTCATCGTACGCAGTGTGGTAGAAACAAAAACTGTCATATCAATGTTGATGTTATCCTACTCCACCTTGGTTCAGTTCTATCAAGGCATGTGAATTTGATGCGAACGGACACTTAACACTGAAGGTGACACAGGCCAGGGACGAATCTCAAATTGTTAAACCCCTCGAGGAATGTACAGTAAACTACGTTTATGACGACACGCTTATAACGAACTGACGGATATAACGAACTTACTTTTTTGTCCCAACTATTTGCTGTAGTTATGCTGTATATATATGCTTATAACGAACTACGGTTATAACGAACTAAAATTAGAGGTCCCTTTGAGTTCGTTATAACCGTAGTTTACTGTATAATGTGTTGGTGGCAGTTCAACGTTTATAACTGGAATGTATGCTGTTCCAAATGACTCACAGTATTGCAGCGTCGTAATGATTATTGGATCCGATATCGACAAACACCATCAAGATCGCATCTGATTCTGAGTTCCTTACTTTGAGTGTTGTGGACGTGTCAAAGGTATATATAAATGTATTAATGTAACAAGAATATAGGCTACTGAGCCATTATTTTGCACTTGTGGTATTGTATTTATGATTATTTGGGCAGCTGAGCTTCATAATGTAGTAAATATGCCATATGACTGTTCTTTTCTGCATGTAAATATCAATCTTATGTTTCCAGTCTACAGCATGATGAACAATGTGTGCATATACCAATTATAAACTTTCTCACTTGTACAATGCTCTGTATGTGTATACGTGTGCATTTACAGTAAACTACGGTTATAACGAACACGCTTATAACGAACTGACGGATATAACGAACTTACCTTTTTGGTCCCGACTATTTGCTGTAGTTATGCTGTATATATGCTTATAACGAACTACGGTTATAACGAACTAAAATTAGTGGTCCCTTTGAGTTCGTTATAACCGTACTTTACTGTACTATGTACTGTAAACCCCAGGGCACAGTGCTGTTGCATACGTTGAGGAAACACGTTGAGCTTTTCTCTGAGGGAGTCGTTGTCTCTTGTTTCAAGTGTCGACTTTCAGCTAGTGGTTATGTGGTATTGTGTATGTGTGTATGTGAGTGAGTGAGTGAGTTGGGTTTAACGCCGCTTTCAACAGTATTCCAGTTATATCACGGCGTGTCAGCTAAATGTGGGAGAAAAGCCCGAAGTGATGCAGGTCTTAGACGTTTACCACTTCGGTGAAACCCACAAGCACGGGTATGGTGCTGACAAACCTAGAAACATAATCGGGGCGAACCGGGATTCGAACCCACAATCATAGGTTTCTGGCGTGCCCAAGGGACGCAACTCTGCACAGTCGTGCCCCCGTATGTGTGTATGTGGCGATGTGGATTGGTCAGGCTTGGTTACGTTGGCAAATAAACTCTCGGCCGTGCATGGCAAAACGTGTCCCTCTTTCAATAGTGTTGTGTTGTGACGTAGTGAAACGGGGAATCTTGGAACCAAAACATATCTGTTGGACGTATGCAGCCGTATATAAGCCCAAGTGGCAGTTTACATTTGCCGTGCAAAACATCATTTACCATTTGGACATAGAAGAGTGTAAAATATCTTTCAGTGACTTTTAGAAGTTGTAGTGTCAATATAGACACGGTTGACGGCAATATCTTCATCAAGCAGATAATTAATTACCAGCTGGGTAGAACGTTCCCAACCATGTAACTATTTCCTCAACTGTATAAACCATTGTCGAATCTGAATAACATGACAACGTAGCTAAAATGAAGCTTGGCTTGAATCCATCTTCACATAGGCGGCAACTATTGAAGTCACAATACTGATAACATAAGATATGTTGGCGAAAATCCATAATCCATTATTTCTGTGTGGATAGAGCTCCAGATATAACAGAATGTGAGTGATTTAACCTTAGAAAGATAGTAATCGGTGTAACTCTCAATGTTTAAGACCCAGGTTTCCAAGGGCTAATACGTGTGCTGCCATCCTTGTATTAAAGGATGTTTTAATTGGCACATACTTCTTTAAGAACTCATTAAGAAAGGGATACAAAGAGAGGATGGGTTTCATTCCAAACAGCCTCGGAGTAAGACGTTGCTATGGTAATGGTTTGCTAATTACTTTCAGTTATCAATCCTCCTGTATTTGGATACTGAATAGTTAAAGTGAGTACACATTGCGCGGTATGCATGTGGATACTGTCAATACCACAAGTAGGGGTATTGATAATCACTACCACAATGACATATCGCGCATGTGTGAAGCATCATTAGCTCTGTAATGCCGCGAGAAGCGGAACCATAGCGATTGTGTTTGTAAAACTACCGAATCACTCAAGTTCAGTCACTTTTACCATGAAGGTCGAACCCTACGAGGCAGATAATGCAAAGGCGGCTACAAATACCCGCAGCAGTAGTGGGACCATGCTTTCTCCACTCGCTACGTCTTTACAGCTGTACGGCTTATATGTCCCACGGGAAAGGAAAGGCTTTGTGAAGAAACTGCAGTGGTTCTATGGCTGTCTTCTAGCGACGATTTTTTGGGCAAACATCATCCGGATTTCATCCGTGTTTCTAAGAGAAAAAGACGTTTCAGCACGACTTACGCTATCAGCATCTATATTTATAATGGTCCTTGGAAGTACATATTTGCATTCTGCTTCTCTTTATGCCTTTTCGAAACATCTCGACACGTTTCAATCAATGATGACAAGCTACCATGAGAAATACGTCTTTTCTTTTAAGCCAGCTCACGTGAAACGAATCCTGCGTTACATGTGCATCATAATTTCAGTGGCAAGTACTGGAATTACTGGAGGTATTTGTTACATTGCAGCCACTCCAGGAACAATTGCAAGTACGTTCCTAAGCCCCTTTGACGAGGTCTCTCCTGGTATGAGAATTGCCTGCCTCTCATTGCTAGGAATCATCATGTTTCTTCTGTATGCGAATGGCTTCAGTAATATTATTTATTTCCTGATTGTTTGCTACTGTCTTGGGAAAGAGTTTGATGCGTTCAACACTGCAGTTCAAAACATGATTACACAGAAGTGTTTGGATGAGAGACTCGAGACATTACGGATGAGGCATACACAGTTATGCAGACTTATAGCACAAGCAAACACGATGACAAAACATTTGTTATTCACAACTTTGACAATGGCAATACCAGTGTTTTGTTTTGTTCTCTTTGGAATCGTTCGTGGATCAATTGGGGTTGAGGATCTCCTCGCATCAGTTCTTATGCTAATGATACTTGTAGCAATCTTATTGTTTACCTTGATATCAGCAGGCATACTAAATATCAAGGTAATTTTATTTATTCTCTTTAAATAAAAATATGTTTAAAAAATGCAATACTTTAATTTATATTTAATTTTTATCTATTTTATTATATTAATATTATTATTTATTTATAATTTAAGGCAATTTCAAATAATATTTTTGTTCATCGATGTGAAGTGGTTTGAGATCCACACAATTGTGATACGTGAATATTTGAAATTTATGTAACAAACTGTCTGTATGAAGGAATAAGTGTTATGTCTTTTTCCATTTCTTGCTTTTCCACTGAAGGCACATGACTGTTTGGATGACATTATGAATGCTAACCTAGTGGATGTAACAGAACGAACCCTTCAAATCGTGAGTATGCACGTAGCTGTATGATTCTGTGACAGTGAGTGAATGAGTGAAAATGTAAAGTCTCGTCGGCATTACATCAGCCATACTGTGACTTGAACAAGAAATAACTTTATATCATATAAAGACCTGTCGACAAACGACAGTATAACAACCATAAGCATAAGGACTAGTTGAATAGGCAATGGACAATGGGCCAACGGGCGGCAGGGGATAATTATCACTGATAGGTAATAGCAGCCAATACCCCGTAGACTCTCCGCGCGTTGCAGGCGCCGCATCGCTAGTTCATCCACAAACAATGAATGAAATCAGGAAATTAAGTTTTACAGACATTAACGTTCTTGCATAGGTGACCACCTATCTTTATTCTTGTTATTGACCTGTATCTTTCATGATCTCCTACTTTTTTAAGAGTGTACATCATGTTTGAAAATATCTATCTATAACATCAATAAATTATTTTTGCGTCCGTTGATTATTCATGATATGAATTGGATAGATAAATGACGTAATAATATCAAAAAGCTTGACATTATGAGCAGCCCAGGGTGTGCTCTTTCTTGAAAAAAATCGGTGTTGTGTTTTTCAGATGTAATGTTATTTTCGCCAATAACACAAAAACATTAAACAGTATTCAAACACTGATCCATGACACATCAGACTTGAACACGTATCTTAGTGATAGAATGTCCTCTGTTCGATCAAAAGTGTCATCATTGTCAATTAGAATAAGGTTCCTTACTTTAATCCTTCACTTTGAGCTCGACTCGACGTGATTACATAACAAGGAAACGAAACAGTAAAGTATTTTTGCTCACATTTGTTGAACCCCAAAATTTATTGACTACAACATTTCTTACTTTTGAAAGATGACTTTACATGTGAACATGTACAAAGAAAAGTATCAACGACTAGAAATCGTGATCCATTGACCTCATAAATATGTCACGAATGTGACTATAGCATGTGAGCCTTCAAAATGTCATAACTGTAGCTAATGTGCATTAGCATGCATTGGTTTTACAGAGGATACAAGATATAAACACATACATGTGAACGAGTTGACTATGACTGGATAAGACACAGCGGTCCTTATCATTTTCTGTTTGCTGGAAAACATGCATAGAGAATATCTTATTGATGGCAGTACATGGCTGCTTCAATATTTTAACCATTAACTTATCATCAACAGTAAGTGAGTGAGTGAGTGAGTTTGGTTTTACGCCGCTTTTAGCAATTGTCCAGCAATATCACGACGGGGGACACCAGAAATGGGCTTCACACATTGTACCCATGTCGGGATTCGAACCCGGGTCTTCGGCGTGACGAGCGAACGCTTTAACCACTAGGCTACCCGACCGCCCCATCAACATTAAGGTTAACCAATGCATCTGGTTTACAGATCTCTATCTTCGCTACCCGGTTAAATGGACCTCAGATAGGCTTCCACGTCTACCGCCTCTTCACAGTGGACACGTCAATGATCTTAACTGTAAGTATGATAAGTTGAGTGAGTGAGTGAGTGAGTGAGTGAGTGAGTGAGTGAGTGAGTTATACATTGTCCCCATGTGGGGAATCGAACCCGGGTCTTCGGCGTGACGAGCGAACGCTTTAACCACTAGGCTACCCGACCGCCCCTGATAGGTTAAGACATAAATACGACATCCACGGATGTCTGAATACATGTTTCAGACTCGTTTAAGCATTTGCTTTTTTATTCAAAATTAAAAGGATATATCCAAAACCGACTGTTCCCAAACTTCTTTTAGACATACTAGTTGAGTGAATGAGTGAGTTTGGTTTTACGCCGCTTTAAGCAATATTCCAGCAACACCACGGCGGGGGACATCAGAAATGGGCTTCACACATTGTACCCATGTCGGGAATCGAACCCGGGTCTTCGGCGTGACGAGCGAACGCTTTAACCACTAGGCTACCCGACCGCCCCTTAGACATACTAGTTGAGTGAATGACGCCGATTAGGTTGCAACAGGTTACAACCTAATCGGTTGATTCGCCTTGCATGATATAAAAGCAGACCTGAGCAAATTGCACAAACCAGTAAATCATTGATGTGTGTTGATGTGTTTCAGTTATTCGGAACGTTGATGACGTATGTTGTGGTCGTGTTGCAGCTGAAACCGGAATATTGATAACATCGCTAGCTACAGGGTGTGTATACCCTTTAGCCACGTGGTCACTGTTATGGTTGTGTTTAAACTAATCAGCCTCTCGCTTGGACATTGTGCAAATATGTGGTAAGAAGAAGAAATGCATATATATGTTCTACGTTCATGTCCTGATTCCGTTGTGAAGTATGTGTGACTATAACTCTACGCTTATATATGGGTAAGCTCCACAACAGCGCTCACGTACACAGTTTATGGAAGTAGTTTGACATAATAAAGTCTATTTATTCCTCATTGCTTATTATACTTATTGGTTTGGTTGTTCGTTGCTTAAGCACACTCGGCAACATTCCAGCGATGTGACGGCGGCCTGTAAATACTTGAGTCTGGACCTGACAATCCAGTGATTGATATAAAAAGCAACTGTAGCAGGGCGGGGTTAACCTCTTTGGTCATGTGGACAAGGCGTCCGACCTCGGATCAGAAGGTCCGTGGTTCGAATCCTATCACGGGATTTTGAAATTCTATGGCCGCTACGTTGGCGCCCAACGTGGGGCTGAGCACATTCACATTAGATTTGAGCAAAATAAGCCTCAGTACCCTACTATGCGGCCCGCGACGTGCCTTCTGTTGACGGGAGAGTATGTAGCAGGGCGTGGAGACATCCTTACCTTGTCAGCTTGCTGACGGGGTTAACCTCTTTGGTCATGTGGACAAGGCGTCCGACCTCGGATCAGAAGGTCTGTGGTTCGAATCCTATCACGGGATTTTGAAATTCTATGGCCGCTACGTTGGCGCCCAACGTGGGGCTGAGCACATTCACATTAGATTTGAGCAAAATAAGCCTCAGTACCCTACTATGCGGCCCGCGACGTGCCTTCTGTTGACGGGGGAGTATGTAGCAGGGCGTGGAGACATCCTTACCTTGTCAGCTTGCTGACGGGGTTAACCTCTTTGGTCATGTGGACAAGGTGTCCGACCTCGGATCAGAAGGTCCGTGGTTCGAATCCTATCACGGGACTCGGAACTTTTATGGCCGCTACACAACGATCAACCATTTCTGCAAGCATAACCACCTGATCCATTGAGTCGCCTTTTAGGTAGCTACGGACGTTTTCTCATCCGGGCTCCGGGCCATGGCTAAAGATCCGAGGAAAGTTACTTCATGCACGGTTGCCATGCTTCATACCAAAGAGCTAACGTTTCATAACTGTATATTACGTTGGAGAATAATTCAATCTAATTTCAATCAGATCACGTCACGTCAGAACGACATTTAATCCGACCAATCAGAGAGTCGCTTACCAGATCATGAAAGTGACAGTCGGAATGTGATTTCTTATCATGCATCCTCGAAAACGTTTTACACAGGGTATTCCGAACGATAGTTACGGGCTTAACGACTGAATCCATACAATCTAGATAATCTATTAACCATTCCAGAATGTTCTTTTGTTCAGGTTTCAAATTTGTAATCGAGAATTTGTCAAAATATGTTTCGAAGCGTAGTCGCCAATTTGAAATAAGTGCCGTAAAGCACGAGTAAGCTGCCTTCTGATTGGCTAATGTCGACTTATTGTCAGTCATTCCATTGGTCGATCAATGTTCGCGCAAGGTCGGTCTGACTTGACCCCTAATGGGATGTCCTCAGATCTTTGTTTAGCGGATTATGTTTCTAGGTTTGTCAGCACCATACCCGTGCTCGTGGGTTTCACCGAAGTGGTAAACGTCTGAGACCTGCATCACTTCGGGCTTTCCTTCCACATTAAGCTGACACGCCGCGATATAACTGTAATACTGTTAAACGCGGAGTTAAACCCAACTCACACACACACAAAACACAAACCAAATACTGGTTATACCGTAACATCTAAAATTCACACATTTACGCCAGAACGTTCTTATATTGGATGTTTAAAAATGCTGGGATTTTGAATGAATCCTATGGCTTTCTTTAGCCACAATAGCAAAACGAGATATGGTTTTAATTAAATGAGTGAGTGAGTAACAGTATTACAGTTACATCGCGGCGTGTCAGCTTAATGTGGGAGGAAAGCCCGAAGTGGTGCAGGCCTTAGACGTTTACCACTTTGGTGAAACCCACGAGCACGGGTATGGTGCTGACAAAAGTAGAAGCATAATCTGGGCGACCGGGAGTCGAACTCCCAATCATAGGTTCTTGTCGTGCTCAAGGAATTGAGGGGCCTTAGACTACAGGGTCACCCAATCCCCCTCATCATTCTTGTATAGGCATCATAGCGTTAGATGGTCCTGCTTTTTCCACCATCTTCTTCCTCTTCTTCTTTCTCTTCTGTGGTTTTCTACATAGCCTGTCAACGTCCATGAGAAGTATACACAACACGAAGCCTATTATGATCATAACGCCAGAATACCCAAGGCCCTTGGCCGATGGCCTGTCGTCTGGATAGCTCACATACCGATAGATATACTGGGACAGTGTACGCTTGTCCAGAGTGAGGTTGAACTCTCTGTCACTTGTTATGTTGAAGGATCCAGATTCCAGACTGCAGGACTTGTTGAGGCAGATGGCGGTGAGGTCGTACTGACAGACATCGTCAATGTAGTCGCTGTTGCAGACACACACGAAGGCGTCGATACCAGTGCTGATGCACCTTCCGGTGTTCTTGCAAGGCGAAGACAAACATGGGTCCATGTCTGGAGGAAAGAACAGACTCATTCATGTATCTCGCTGCCTTGAAAAAATATCAATATGAAACATAATCGGGGCGAACCGGGATTCGAACCCACAATCATAGGTTTCTGGCGCGGCCAAGGGAATCGCGGCGCCTTAGACGACTGGGCCACCCGCGCCCCCAGCTGAACAAGAGAACATTATATAATAGATTTGGTCATATTGGGTTGAGATTCAAGTGCTCTTTCTTGGATTCTAGCCTATGAGGACAGGCGTTAGCCGTGACTAGCGAACGCTGCAAACCCTGGCCTACCCATGGCCAAAGAATTCGCTTGGGTGAATCCATTGTTTATCTGCTTAACATTTATTCGTTGACAGTAGAATTGTTTTGGTAAAATGTTTTGGAACTCACAGTGATATGTAGTGACAGTCAATGTACCATGTGCACTGAAAGATTGCATTTCAATGTGTGTGACAGCGAGATGACTTTCAGCTCATAGTTAACCACATTCTGAAAATCTTAAAGCAAAACAAACACCATTAGGTTCACTTACTTCACCAGAATGATCTGGCACGCTTAATGTACACGTCTAACAACTGCTCGCATTAACCGTATCAGTCGAAAGGATACGGAACTTTAACGCCAGTCTTAATCAATAATTCTATGAATGGATCACTGAAAATCAGTGACGACACCATGTGTTTGAAGCAATGAACACGAACTAAACTTAGTCATAATCTTGTTCTAAAATGTATCTATGACACAATATCGATCTAAGTGACGCCCTCCGTGGTCTCATGGATTGAGCTTCTGGCGGGGAGGAAAGGTCAGAGGTTCGATCCCCGGACGCGTCGTACCAGTGGGATCTTGAATGCGACGTAAAACCCAATTTCACCTCACCTCACCTCGTTAGAAGTACATTAAGTTTGTAATGTGGTTGATATATAATAAACTATTCAGTACATTACCGAGTCCAGTAAATCGTACATGTATATGCACCCTATCTAGCTCCTTAACAAACCCATCAATACATTTTAGTCTACTGAATAAAATCACGATTGTGTATTATCTTGTTAAGGAGAAGACGTGTTTCGTCGCATAGAATCCTGCAATACATCCTAATGTCCAACATAATTAATCAACACGAGCTAACACCGTGCTGTTCTACCAAGGTCAATAGATGACAATATCATACTTCACTAATGACGTGTTACAGTAGAGTGTAAACACTGAATTATGACGGCTGTATCGCCGACAAACATCCTAGTTTAAAAAAACTGGAGTGAGTGAGGGTTAACGCCGCTTTTAACAGCATTACAGTCAGCGCGGCGTGTCGGCTTAATGTGGGAGGAAAGCCCGAAGTGATGCAGGTCTCAGACGTTTACCACTTCGGTGAAACCCACGAGCACGGGTATGGTGCTGACAAACCTAGAAACATAATTGGGGCGAACCGGGATTCGAACCCACAATCATAGGTTTCTGGCGTGCTCAACCCAAGGGACGCAACTCTGCACAGCGAATCGCGGCGCCTTAGACGACTGGACCACTCGTGCCCCCCAAAACACTGGACGTGACCAATATACTTATATGATTGTGTGACATCAAAATAATATTGACACGTTTCTTTAACTTGAGCCGTGGATTAAAATTGAAAAGTGTGAAAAAACAGGTCACCAGCTTCATTGCATGTGTTTCATGTG